GCAAATTGGCCTTCCTCCGCCTTTTTGTTCTAGTCAGGCCTTGATGGATTGGATTACCTCTATCCATATTGGTGAGGGTACAGATCTTCTCCACTCAGTCTGATTCAAATGCTAATCTCTTCCAGAAACGTGCCCACAGACACATCCAGAAATCGTGTTCTACCAGCTCTCTAGGCATCCCTTAGACCGGTCAAGTTGACACATGAAACAACCATCACAGAAAGAGACTGTGCTGTTTGGTGGGCTGGGGCAGTTCTGGAAAGTCAGGATGAGGGACTCTCTCTCTTTCGGTTTTGGTGGCCTGGAGATGTCCAAGGACCCCTCATGTGTCTGGCGAGGTCTGCTGGAATCAGGCTTGGGCAGCTGAGATAGCACGTGTCTGCCTGGGCTCCGAAGGAGGCCCGAAGGTGTGGCAAGCTGGCTGTAATCCCATATTCTGCAGCCGTCACCCGCTAGAGACACGGGTGAGGAAAGCCCACAGGAAGCTAACTGGCTGAAGCAAATGGTCACTGATTCTGGTGGAGGATGAAAGTCGCAAGTGTGAGAAAAACGTCCTGAGGAAGAGTAAACACACACACACACACACACACACACACACACACACTGGATCCCATGAGCAGGAGGTACGACTGGGCATTGATACAAAGCAGCAATTTCTGTAATTAAATGGTGCCATTATCCTGAGTATGTGGAGGTTTTGGAAAGCACCTTTCAAAAGTGGAAGCCATTCCAACGCTCCCAGTGTTTTTCTTCTTGTTTACTTTCTAAGGCTTCCAGCTCAGAGATGATGCTGGGTCCATGTGGGGCCCTTCCCTAGGGTTCCAGGGCCTTGCCCAAAGCCTGGGGGCAGACTCTTGCCATTGCTGCGGTGGCAGCGCCTAGATAAAACACTGTGTGCCAGCGGCTGGTGTGAGTGCTTCCAGCAAGGCAGGCTCAGCTTAGGGATGTTTCAAAATACAAATGTCTGCTCCAGAGATAAAGGGGCAACATGTAAATGCAAGGGGAAAAAGAGACGTGGAGGAGGGAACCTACCGATTGAAAGAGACTGAAAAGACATTTCAATCAATTGCAATGTCTAAGACTCGTATTCTGATGCTTAAAACACAAACTGTAAAAGGATATTATGACATGCATGAGACAGGTGGAAATTTGAACTCTCACTGACTATTTTATGACTAAAGAATTATTATTAATTTTTAAAAATTTTTAGGTGGGATAATAGTATGGTCATTATATTGTATCTATAATACAAGTATCTTTTAGAACTTATCTCTACATTCCAATATAGATGAAATGATAGGATGTCTTAGATTTGTTTCAAAATTATATGGGTTTGGGGGTCGGGTCTGGAGTGGCCGAGAGGAGCAGAGTGGCTGTGGATTGGACTGTTATGGGGCCTCATTACACCCATCTGTTTACTTTTGCGACTCTTGAGGTTCTCCATTGTAAAATTAGTCTTAAAAATTACTGTGACAAAAAGATGGTGGATAGGTTAGGAAAAAGTTAATTGCCTTTAAAATTCTCTCTCAATCCTTGTGTGCTCATGGATTAAGGTCCATATTGGTGTGGTTGTATCTTTGATAGTCTTGCGCTTGGTCATTTTCTCACCGAAGGCCCTGAGAGCACACCTTAGGCCCTGAGCCTTTAGCAGAAAACAGTATCTACATGTAACTTGATGGCATTCCTTTGTGCCATTGTATTTATTTTATGACTACTTCTATTTGGGTAACTGATACATCCTATTTGTCTTTAAATCAAAGTGCTTACATATATTTATTGAAGAAGCAAACTTTGTCTCCTTCTGCAAATAGAAAACCAGTAACAGTACAGGTGGTACTTAGATATGGTAAAAAAAATTTAGGATGGTGGGAGGTGACAGATGTTTGGGAGGCACTGTTTGGTATAAGTCACAGGAAACATTTTCCTATCTCTTCATTTATCAGTAGACAACCGTCTCACACAAATCTGTGGTCTTTTCCATCCCAGAGGGTCTCTGTGCCCGGGGCAGGATGGTCAGCTCAGGCCATCGTCCACTGCTGCCTCCCTGCATATCAGATAAAGCACTGACACCCAGAGAAGGGGCCCAACAGCAGAGAGTGGAAACAGACCACGGAGACAAGGGGGGCGTGGCTCCCCACCCATGGATCCCTGGCCCCACCCCAGACACCATCCCTTACCAGGTTTACAGAAAACTGAGATTGGGGTAGTGAGACAAATTTCCCATTTGAGGGAGAAAACCTCAAATGGGAAAACGTTTTACTCATCATTTTGTTGTTTTCCACTGGTTATTTTTTGCTGGGAAAATGTCCTGATTGCCTTAAGTCACCTTAAACACAGGTGGTTAGCAAGCTGTGTCCACTCAGATGTGTTTCGTTAGGTCTGTTTGTATGATTGCTGTTTTGTTTGTGTAATTAAACTTTTTTTGAGATAATTATAGATTCACATGTAGTTGTAATAAACAATACAGAGGGTTCCTATGTACCCTTTACCCCATTTACCCAAAACCATCAGACAATGTCACAACCAGGAAGGAGACACCGATGCAGTCAAGCCACAGAACATCTGCATCCCCACAAGGACCCCTCATGTCGTTCTTTTGTAGCCACAGCACCCCCAAACTCACATCCTCCCCCTCTCCCTTGGCGATCACTCATTTGTTCTATACCTCTGTAATTTTGCCATTTTGAGAATATTATATAAAAGCAATTATACATTATGTAACATTTTTGTGGTTGGTTTTTTCCACTCAGCATAATTTCCTGGAGAATCATCTGACTTGTATGTATCAAAGTTCCTTTTTTATTTTTTTAAAGAGAGGGGTCTTGCTCTGGTTGCTCTGTCGCTCAGGCTGGAGTGCAGTGGTGTGATCATAACTCACAGCAGCCTCACATTCCTGCGCTTGAGTGATCCTCCTGTCTCAGCCTCCCAAGTAGCTGGGACTACAGGCCTGAGCCACTGTGACTGGTGGTTTGTTCCTTTTTAATTGCTGAATAATATTCCATGGTATGGACATGCCACAGTGTTTAACCATCACCCACTGAAGGACTCTGTGCTGTGTCCAGTTGTAGCTTATTATAAATAAAGCTATGAACATTTTATGTACAGGTGTTTATGTGAGCACTAATTTTCATCTTTCTGGGATAAATGTCCAAGAGTGTGTATGTTTCTTTTTAATGAATTAGTTGCCATCATTTACAATCAAGATGTTTCACCTAAAAATCCACATTACTGATTTCTCCTCAATAACCAGTTGACCTGGAAAGAAAGATGGGGCCACAAGAACTTATGATCTTAGTGGGCCCAAAAGCCCTAGTCCCCTAATGCCCCTCGTCCTTTTCACTTATTTACCTGCCTGGCAAGGCATATATATGCACCATATTATTTATATATTTGCTTGCATATGTATACAATTTCTCAAGATGTATACTGTAGCAGAAAACACTGGTTGTCTATGGGGAAGGGTATTGGGTGATGGGGCAGGAAGGGCAAGCATGTTCACTAAGAACCCTTTCAAGCCTTTTTAGTTTAAAGTTAACATGACTGTATTACCTGCTCAAAAATGAATCAATAAAATGTGTAACCTAGAATCCACCCAAAGAGTTCCTCCCAAATACCCACTCTGAGGCTGCCTTTTCCATACAATTCTTTGTTGCCTTTCTTCAAAGAAGGGAACCCATTGGAATTTTCAGTCCTGGAGCACTTGGTTGCATACAGGGAAGGATCCCCCATTCTCCCAGCACTGGGATCACTAGAGAAGGTTTTCCCCGACACACACATTCCCTGGTGTTTGAGGAGAGACCCCCAAACACCTCCCACCACCATCCAAAGGCCCCATGATCCTGGAGAGGCAGGCTCAGACTCACCTGGACTCTCTGAAGCCCAGTGAGGTGTCTGTCTATGCCCAAGCTAAGGCCACCTCCTCCAAAAAGCCTTCTGAGCCTCTCCTTCCTTGTCACTCAGTGGCATCCTGTGTGCCTTCCTGGCTCCAAGTCAGCACAACTTCCTGCGCTCCTTACACAAGCTGGGCCCCTTTCCTGACCTCCCGCTAGGCTGGGCCTTCCCTGCAGACCAGATAAATATTTCTGCAGCACATGGTGCCCCGCCGTCCATGCAAACCACGACTGAGAAACTAGGAACCGTAGAGCACAAGTGCAGACTCAACGAAGACCTTCTGTTTCCGTGTGCAGATGAATTTAGCCAGGGTGGGGGAAGGGGTAGGGTGTGCTTCTGACAGTGCTGGCGCCCTAAATCTGACCTTTGGGTAACCTCTTAACGGCTTCCGGAAGACAGTGGGTGCAGCGCAGAGAACAAAGGCTTGGGGATCTGAGAGCCCCCAGCGCTGCCCTGATGGCTGGCGCATGTGGGGGCCATTCAACGCGTCTCCTCCGAGTGAGATGGGATCAAAACGCCTCCTGGGCAGGTAGTGAGGAGGTTGAAGGGAGAGGAAGCCTCAGCCCTGTGCGGTTGGCTCCCCCTTGTGGGACGGAGGGTCCCTCTTCTGCGAAGCATGGACTGGGATGAGGCAGGCAGCGGTACTCCTCACCCCAAGTGTCCTGGGGTGTGTATCCTTTCGCGTGTTGACTGTCAGTCCCGGCCTGAGGACAAGGTGACGAGGTCTCAGGAGCCGGTGGCCTGCTCAAGCGGTGCCAGGCCTGGCTCTACCGCCGGAGGCGCTGACAGGGCCGGGGAACGCTGCCCATGGCCGCAGGGCTCCCACTGGCGTCCAGGACAGTAACAGTCAGAAGGCCCCAGGGTGAGCGTGGAGGCCAGAAAGCTGAGCGGGGCTTCCGCGCGGTCCCGGGGTGCCCGCCCCATCACTGCTCCCTGGGCTCCTGTGGTCCGGGCACGCGCCCCCAGCCCCACCCCGTGTTCCGGGGCCGGGCCGAGGGTGGGGTCGCCTAGAGCTCGGCCCCCTCAGTTCCCGCGCTCGGCCGGCCGGGGCCCGGCGGGGGCCCTCGCCCCGCCCTCGCCCCGCCCTCGCTCCCGCGCTTATCACCTGCCGGCCGGCGCGCGCGCGGAGTGCGCGAGGGGGAGCGCGCGGGCGGCCAGGCGCCGGGTCGCCGGAGGTGAAGCGTGGCTGGGATGGCGGCGCGGGCCTGGCAGGCGCCGCCGCTGCTGCTCGCGCTCTCGGTGCTTCTGGCGCTGGGCCCCACCACCGCGGTGGCCAAGCTCAACATCCCCAAGGTGCTGCTGCCCTTCACGAGGGCCACGCGCGTGAACTTCACACTGGAGGCCTCGGAGGGCTGCTACCGCTGGTGAGGCGCGGCCGGCGTCCCCGGCCGGGCGGGGTGGGTTCGCGGGCCGGGGAGGCCTTAAAGCCCGGAGGCCGGGCCAGGGCGGGCGCGCTGCAGGTGCGCCGGCGGGGGACGGCCGCGGCGCAGAGCCGGCCCGCGTGGCCGGCGGGCGCGGCGCGGCTCCAGGCTCAGGCTGGAGCGGCAGGCCGGCGGGGCAGCAGGTGCGCGGCGCGCTCTCGCGGGGCGCCTGGCGGCCGCGGCCCCAGCGGCCGGTCTAGCCTGAGTGACGCGGCGGCGTGCGCGCGGGTCGCCACCGCTGCGCGTGGCGCCTCCCGGCCGCCACGCTGCTTCGGCGGCGGAGAGCCGGCCCTGGCCTGGCGGGCCGTGACCGTGTGCTGGGGGCGCGCGGGGGCAGGGGCGTGTGGGGCCGCGGCGTGTGGCCTGGCGGGCGCGACCTGAAGCGGGTCTCCAGGACTTGCGCAGGGCGAGGGCGGCGCCGGGCCGGCTGCGCTCTGCCCGGGGCCGCGTGGTCTCACTTCCCTTCGGCCGGGTGCTCCCGGGAGCGGGCGGTCGGGGCCCTGCAAAGCCCTAGGCTGGAGGCCCCGTCTCCTGAGTTCGTGTGGTGCCCGGGGTCTCGTCGTGGCGCCCGGCAGGTGTGGGGGCGTCTGTGGGAGACGGGCCGTGCCTGCCCAGCGACGTTGGGAGTATCGTGAACCTGTGATGAAAGGTTTTCTGAGGAAGCCCTAGGGATCTGTTTTACAGATGAGGAGTGAGAGGCAAGGGGTGGGCGGTGGTTCACCTCAGCTTGCCCGGCGTGGGGTGGGCCTTGGTGCTCAAGGTCCTTTTCATCACCTTCCCTAGGGCTTCCCGGGACGCGTGCCTTCTTCCTGAGGCGGGGGTGGGGCGTGGAAGGTGACCTGTGGAACCTCAGCGACTAGTGAAACCGGAGGCCTCTGTCCTCCCTACAGGGAGGCCTGGCTAGGACGGGACGGAGTGGGGTGGTGGGGTCCCGCCTCTTCGATTTGCAGGCGGGGAGAATGGAGCCTCTACTCCTAGGCGAGTGTGACTGCGCCACACCTAGGCCTCAAAGCGCCAGCCTTGCCAGGGGTGAAAAGAAGGTAGCCTCCTTCCCCGTCACACCCCCAGGACACACTTCTGCAGCTTCTTTTACTTTTCTGTTTCAAGGCTGGGTCAAGGTTGAGGCTTAACAAGGTGTGACCACAATACACAGCCAGCTGCGTGTGTTTTAAGTCTGTCTGGACATTTGTCGGGGTGTGTATGTTAGTGTGATGCCCAGAGCTCAGACCAGCGTTGTCTGTAACTTGCTCTACTTGCCCTATTTATTTTTTGAAAGTCTGCCTCCTGAAATAAAGATGTGCTGTGTCAGCCCACTGCACTCTGGGTTTAGTGCTTTATGTGCTGCCTGGAGGCTCTTATTTCTAGCTTGATATCAGAGACTGAGTTTGGGTTTTAGGTTTTCTGTTTCCCTGTCTAAGCCCTGTCTTCTGTGCAATGATCAGCTATTAGTACTTTGGAGGAGATACATGCTCATTCTCCTGTTCAAATTGTCTCTTCTCTTGACACACAGGAAAGAGGAAGCTGGTTATTAAAAACAGCTGGCTTCAAGTGAGTACCTTTGGATGTATTTATGTGCAACTTCCTCTGAGATTCTTTATACTATTTTTTCTGAAATAACAGCACTTTTCTTTTTTTCACTAACTGCATTTTCTTTTTTGAGAGGAGCTGATGGATGTTGGTGGATTTTAACTTACTTGGTGGGAGGAAGGGAAAAAACATTTATAGTCTCTGTTGCATCAGAGAAGTGCTAAGTACTTTATAACTTTAGAGTCTGATCCATAGTTTTTACTGCAAATGTGTGGCTATTTATCTTAAGTGTCTTCTCAGAGGTGTTTGGTGGTTGTGATTTGTCCTTAACTTCATAGGAAAATATTCCATCAGTCAAGCCCTGAAAATGTTTTCTTTATTTTTAGTAGTGCTATTCCTAGTGCAGCCATCTATTGCTCTAGTTTTGAAGAACTCCTTTGGAGATTTTGAATTGGCGTATAGACAAGCTGTGCATGCACCTAGGAGGAAAACAGCTCTTCATCCAGGGAGTTCATTGTTCAGTCTCTGCGATGAAAAACAAAGAAAATTAAAACTCTGTGGACCCTGAAGGAATTTTAGTTCATCCTGGTGATTTCCTTGTTCAGGTGGTTAGGGTCTGGTGTTGGTTAAAATGGCTGTGCTCAGGCTGGGTGTGGTGGCTCATGCCTGTAATCCTAGCACTTTGGTAGGCTGAGGCAGAAGGATCGCTCAAGGTCAGGAGTTCAAAACCAGCCTGAGCAAGAGCGAGACCCCGTCTCTACTAAAAATAGAAAGAAATTAATTGGGCAACTAAAAATATATAGAAAAAATTAGCCGGGCATGGTGGCGCGTGCCTGTAGTCCCTGCTACTCGGGAGGCTGAGGCAGGAGTTTCGTTTGAGCTCAGGAGTTTGAGGTTGTTGTGAGCTAGGCTGACGCCATGGCACTCTAGCCTGGGCAACACAGTGACACTCTGTCAAAAAAAAAAAAAAAAAAGGCCGCACTCACACTCTCTCGACCTTCCCTTTCTGCCTTATCCCTACATTAGAACCATAGAAGTCATCTAGTCTAAACTACTCACATTTTATATTGGGAAAGTCTGAACCTCAGAGAGGGAAGTGATCTCTGCAAAGTAGGGTGGTGACAGAGACTGAGGTGGAGCAGAAGTTACTGGGATGGCTCTCTGTCCATCCTGTTAGACCTTGGACCTTGGGACTTGCAGCCTCTGGCTCATGTGCCGGACTCTTGAATCCCTGTAGTTGCAGCTGGCTGGCGTTGCTGGGTATGACAGGTTCCTAATTCCTTTTAGGTATTTTGCATTATTGAAAGTGTTTCATAAAGTATATGGCATTAGCTCCTTTTAAAGCTATCCTTTTCTATACAAAATGACTGTGTATAGAAAACTGGGAGAATAGAGGAGAAAAAGAAATCATGCCATAATCCTTTGACTATTATACAATCACAGTTACCATTTTGGTTTCCTTTTAGTCATGTATGTTTCCACTCGCAGCTCCTTTCCTACACTGCCTCAAATCTGGTTATGTGGGCCCCTTGGTAACGTTCCCTTCTGCTAACCACCAGCTAACACGAAAGCCTGAGTGTTTTCTATGCTGCTTTGGAATCCTCCTGAGGTTTCCGTGTCCGACACCATTCTGCTGGCTAGATGTGCGTTATCCCCTCGTGCTTTCACAGGGTGTTCTGGATCCTCCAGGGAGTGCCTTGGGTGGGTTTCCCACAGGAGGAGCCTGAGGCAGGGGCTGTTGTGTGTGGCTTACCAGAAGGTGATCTTCTGGGAAGTAGGTGTGAACTAAAATAAAACCTTAAGCCCTCCCAGCTGACTCAGGGGACCCCTTCTTGGCCAAGGGGACCCCAGACATAACCTAAAGCTGAGTTGCCATGAGAAGGGAAGCTGGACAAGCCTCCTCATGTCCCCTCTCCCTTCTTGGGGGTATCCTTTGTAACTCATTACCAGGCCTAAGGCTGTGTCAGACAAAGCTTTAACCACACCTACAGGTCCTCAATTTACGTTGCAGATTGTGAGTCCTGACTTGTCTCTGATTAACAGGCTTTTTTTTTTAAACATTCCAAGCCTTTAGACAAAGCTTCATTTCTTTAATTACAAATCAAGGAATCTTTAAACCCACCTATACCCTATAAGCCCCCCCACTTTGAGATATCCTGCCTTTTCGGGCCAGACCAGTATATGCCTTCCATGTGTTGATTTGTGACTTTATGTGTAATAACTGTCTCCCTGAAATGTATAAAACCAAAGTGTAACCCAACCACTGCGAGTCCACTTGCTCATGGTGGTACATACTCTGCTCAGAATGAACCTCTCTAAATTATCTTACAGAGTTTGGGTTCTTTTCTTTTGACACGGGATAGGGAAGGCAAGGATGTGGTCTTGAATGGAGTCTAGCTCTGGGCTGACCCACCTGACACTCTGGAGCTGAATTACACTGCAGGTTTTGCAAGGAGAGACCAAACTTTTGAGCTTTTTTACCCACTTTAACGCAGCCACTGGATCCCCCTGGGGGACAGGGGTGCTGTGCAACATCCCAGGCCTCTGGATGAAGCAGCCCTGCTGAAAAGTATGAGCTGCAGTGTTCCCTTTGCCTGAGGCGAGGGCAGGTGTGGACATGCCTGGTAAAAAGTTTCTGGATCCAGCACCCATGGTGTCCACTGCACTGAGCTGTGCCTAGACTTTTCCTCTTCCTTCCCTGTCCCTGAGAGTCTCCCCTGGGTACCCTGGAGTTGCCTGATGTGTTTACCAGGCCTGGTCCTGTACCAGGGTGCACCCTCTCTTATATGGTCCTGGCAGCTTCTCAGCCATGGGTATAAGGATTGTTAGGCAGGCAAGTGGGAGCCCTTTCTGGGCCAGGGAGGACATGGGACCACACTGTGGAACGTGTCCTTGTGCTGACCCCAGGCAGCTCAGATGACCATTAGGGAATCAGTGGGCATGAAAGACCCCACAATCCCTTTCTCTTTGCTGACCAGTTACTATGGGAGGTCAGATGCCAGCACTACCCTTGATATGGACATTGAAGGTCCCTCTTCCTGCCCTAGCAGGAGGAAGCAGTAGGGAGTCACCTTGCAGCCTTTTGTCAGTAAAGTTGGGGAGGGAGGTGGGGGAAGGGTTTCCTCTGGTTCTTCGGAGACCCCACAGCATACTGAGCTAGGTCAGGTGTCATCCAGCCCAGCTGCCTTCTGCTGGACTCAGGGCTCAGAGCCTCCAGGACAGAGGCACTTCCTGTGCTTGCAACTGGACAAGTGAGGCGGCAGGGCCTGAGGGAAGCTGGCCCCAAAATTGAAATAAAAATTTACTAAGTGGAAACATAACCAAAAAAGCAAGTTTAATTCAACTGGGGGCCTGCCAGTCTGCACCTTTTGCACCCATTCATTTTGCCTTCCTGGATCCCATTCCTGCACTTCTCC